ACTTTACATTTGTGAACGCCAAATTAAATTAAGACATCGAGTCTTATTTTTTATATTATCTTTAATATAAATTTGTATATAATATTCCATCCTTTTTAAAGTGACAAAATTAGAATAACCCCCCCCCCCCCAAACCGAACAAGATAAAACACACACAAAAAAACGAGAACTTGTCTGTAAAAGTATGAAAATTATGTGTATATATACTTGAATCAAACGTGACTGACTAAAAGCACGTCATTTATTCTATGCATAAGAGAAGAACGGTTAACTTGCCTCCCTCCAACAGAATTTCGTTCTTCTTTTTCTATTCTCTTTCTTTTTGCCCCGGTATTCTACTGTTTACCGAGGTATTTGGCACTGTTTTACGTACACAAACACACACCGTAAACGAGCATCGAGCTTTTTTAATTTTCTGTTCTTCTCATACATCAAAGTTGTAGATGTTCAATTTCATCGAAAACTTCATTGATTTCTCTACACACTTACATATATGAAAATCTCTTGGAAGTAATGAATATAACAAAACATAACCTACACATTTACCAATTATATACTACAGTTTGTTTCATCAAGCGTAAAATAGAAAGCTCAGACGGTTTAGTTACATCAGTTCGACAGAATACACGTACGCGGTTGAAGGGATATATCCATTGAATACAGGAGTTATTTAGTGCACGTAAAATTTGACTAAAAAAGGTGCAATGAGTTCTTCGAATATCGTTGAAACTTCTTTGTTAGTGACCAACTTTTTCAGTGATCAGATTCTGACCTCAGATACTCACCTCAGATGATGAAACTTTTAGTTAACTATCAATAAAACTTCTCTTTCAGAGTGATTAGTGAACTTACTAGGAATTTTTCTTTCATCTACCAGACACTTCACTAAACATGTTGGAGAAATATTGTAAAATTCCTAGATTAATTAATTTCAACACATTTTGAAACTTATTGCTGTAATTCGACGTGCACTACTTTTCTCTGGACGAAAAAACCCATTAGACATGAATGTGTTACTAAGACCTTGAACAGCTAAACTTTCATGTTTCTGAGCACGTCAGTGTATGTAAAAGGAGTAAACGGAATCAGAATATCAAGCTATGTTAGTTCAATGACAAAACAAATGTGAAATGAGCTCATTTTTGTTGCTGTTTACTATACATTATTATCGCTGATAGCAACCATAGACTGGTCCTTCTATATGTATGTTATTTTTCCTTTTTTTGTTCTCCGCTTAATTAAATTCTGATTTTTGACTAATATTATTTCAAAACATTTCATTAATACAACGAAATTTCCTAACACACCTAGAAACTGTAACTCTGAACAGTTGATGTCAACTCGAGGTAAATTCATAAGCTAATATAGCTTTCATGGTCATTTCAATGACTTTTAGAACTTATATAGTTCATACTGACCTAATTCAAAGCGTTCACAATTTTGTTGAGAGTAAATTATACACGTGAGCTGTGAGAAGGCAATTTCTGCAATGTATGTGCGACAATCTTGAACCGACTAGATGAATATGCATTGCTGTGTGCACAATATCTTTTTTCTTCCTTTCTGTACGTGTCTCTCACCACCCCCGTACCATTTCGAATCCATACACGTGCTGGTTGGTTGTTGGCTGATGATGATGGTTCTTTTAAAACGTTTTTCTGTTCTCAACGATTATATATCTACCTCTTTTTAGTTTCTCGATAGTTTGATGTGGTGTCTTTCTCTATAAACGGCACGGAGGAAAAAAAAGAGAACATGCACAAAATATGACATTTTTCTACATAGTTTAAAAACAGACACACAACAATAAAAAAGAGATGATTGTAGCTATATTGACCTCTTGAAAAGACTTTCGATTTCCAATATTTCTACGAAGATTCAAGTCAAGCGGTTAATCTTGTCTCACAGAAAAAAAAAAACATGTTTTTATATGGATACTCTGATGATCATACTTTTCAAAAACTGTTATCCACTATCTATTGATTGGGAGAAGAAAGTTGAGAAAAAACTTCTCATTACGCATCACTGAGTTCGTTTAGTCAGTGAGGTTACACCTAATTAAAGCGGTAGCCATCTAATTCTGATCTAACACTGATTATTAACATAAATGGATAAAATTAACCCGAAAAATATTTCTTATCTAACTATTCTCACTGTTTTTTATAGATTCCTATAGCAAACCAAACCACTACCTTTTAGAAAATATACGTTGATCTAATGTATACAAATTACTTTTACGTAGTCTTCATCACAAACGACCACCATTTATTCAATTACAGAATTATTGTTATTCAAGAGCGCCCTATGAAATCTCAAAAAGCGTTGTTTACTTCTAAAAATTGTCAAAAGTTACAGCATTTATAAACACGCGTAATGAATCACAATGGAACTAACTAACACAATTCGTCTTTGTTTAACGCAGTCATTTATACTATAAAACGAATACAATGACGTCAAAGCGAATAGTAAAGCTCATTATTAAAGAAAATAATTCTTGATAATTTTCTTCTTCGTGCAACACCTGTTGTTTGTTCTCTATATGAGATATCCTCCCAAGATCATGTAAAACCGTTCGATACTTTTTTTACACAAAGAACATATGACATGCTCGAATCATGCCGCCTAACAAATCTCATATTATTCAGATGAGACATCTCTTCGACAGGTTACGAATCTATCTTCTCAACTTGTTAAAATTTTTCTTGGATGAATTTGGAAGCTTCAAACTAGGTTCCATAAACCAGATACCTCTCACACTTGACTTTGTAAAATCTACATGCAATCCTCTCCTCTAATATACGCATAAAAACAGAAACGTTTTTCAATCGAACTTCAAAACGAAAAACTGTCGCCACATCGATTAGAGCACTTCGGGGCAAAAATTAAACGTATGATTTATAATTTTCGATCATTCTCGTTTCATCGCTTTTTTTCTCCGTTGATGGTTTCAACTATCACGCTTCGTTTATGCTTTGGAAAATGCGGTGTAACTCGTTGATGAACCATCATTAATGAGCACCAAAGATAGAGCCAATCATTTGTAGAATAATCCATGCACATTGTATTCATCGCAAGAATAGTCATTGATCTAAATTGGGTTCTTTGCTTGGTTATATAGTTGAATTATTGTTCATCGCCAAAACTATATCAGATTTCGATGGAAATAATCAGTTGAATCACAATTCTTTAGCAACATCGTAGAAAAATTGTGTATGTGTGTAAGTGTTGCAGCTTCTCATGGGCCTTCGTAATTCGATTAGTTGCCTAAATAAACGAGATTAAACTAAAATTGTTTTCAATAATCAGTAGACTATCTATCATAGATATATTGTTGCATCATAATCGAAAAATGTATTCATATGTGTCGTGTCACGCTCATAACAAAAATAATTTTTAGTCACACGATCATTAACTTGATGACGATAAAATTCCACTACACGTAATAAATCAGCATGTCGAAAAATGTTTTTATCAATAAATAATTCAATATCTTTATTATCGGAGAACACTGGTTTAAGCTCTTGGAAAAATTGAACATTGATAAAAATAAAACGTTGATTTGTTATGATAACATTGCTTCGTTTTTGTAAAAAGTTCGACGAAATATTATTAAGATGTTGTTTTTCATAATAGGTTAATCTGATATGTGTTTAAACAAAACTAACAGTTTTACTATATATAATGGGTAACTTCAATCTCAAAAGTATTTGAAGAATATTGGATGGTACAGAGATTTCTCTCTTTCAACATATGAACTTGAAAGCATAGTCTGACAACTATGTTGTTCGTCACATGCCTAAAGGGCAATGTATTTCGAACCTCGACATCATCAAGTCATGTAATAACATTGAACATTGTGGATACTTTTATAAAGAATCAAGTTTTCTTCAATACATTCGTTTATTATATTATCAGACACGGATGTACACTTTCTCCACTCTCGTAATGGAGGCAAACAGTCTCCCAACTGGATTTCAAATTAAAGTTAAAAGCTTACTTCAAATCACACTATCG